TACCACCAAAGTCGGGTGGCGGTGGCGGAGCTCGAACCTAGAACCATAGGGTCCAAAGCACGCCGGTGACAGCGACTAAACCACTGCGCCACCACCACCGTCCGCCAGGTTAGAGTCCAAAAGACTGCAACTGGTTGGTTGGAGACACTGAAGGATATGGCAGCAAACAGACAGCAATGGTGTTCTTCTTGTCATTTCTTATCAAGTCAGAATGCTTGAAAAGGTAAGTATGCACACTTAGATTCTGTACTCAGTGTGTTGACCACAGAGGTTCACTTTCTTTGCCTTTCCCCAATTAGGCCCGATCCCTCTCCATCTTGTGCTTTATCGCTTAGTTTGTGTATATTTTGTGCCTGGCAGCGATCAGTGAAGTTCGCTTCACTGTATCTTGCTGTTCGATGATAACGAATGGGTAGCCAAAAGACAGCAACTGTAGAACGAGAGTGCATGGTTAACGGTTGAACAGAAAAACTGATATCCCTAGTCCTGTGGGAGTCCCACTTGTCACGCACACGGATTTTCCGCTGCAATTTCCGGAATAACCGAACTAGCTTCAAGCCAGTTGAACTGTTTACTAAAATACACAGAGTAGAGATCAAGTCATTGATCTTTGTCCATACTCTGTCCACTTTTGTCGCAAATGGTTTCCCTGACCAGTGACGTGACGACCTCCGGTGCTGTGTAACAAGTGAAACGGTCTTTGACTAGTCCCTTTCATTTTACTACAGTGGGTGGCTATTCCAATCATAGGAGTATAAGCCTGATCCCAATGGAGTTAAAGCTGTTCGCACCCGTGATTCTCCACCGATTTTACAAAATGCGTGGAGAGCAGACCCGCGAGGAGCACAAGAAGCGACACCGCCTTACATGGAAACCGCCAACCGCTTCACAGCGCTGGACCCAAATCGACCACATCGCCATCAGTTACTTCTGGAGGAGATTGATTTAAGACTGCCGCTCTTACTAGTCAACGTCTGTGGATACAGACCATGCTTTGTTACAAGCCAAATTCTTCTTACGTCTGGAAAACAAACGCAAGAAAGCCACCGACAACGGATACCCACGATACAATGTCAGCGACTGTTATAAATCGTCCTTCGAAGCGGAGCTCTCCGATCACCTCAGTTCAACCACCAACCGAAGGACTCAATGAACACTGGAAGCAAATCAAGGAAGCTATGCAAATATCGATAAAAACGGAGAACCCTGGGACAAGCTTAAAGCACAAACGATGGATCTCGTCGACCTCAGCTGCCATGCTGGACACCCGCAGAACCCTCTCTCCGGATGCCACATACGAACACAGCGCGCAAATCCCTTAAACGCCAGCTCGTCAAGAGTCTGAGAAATGACTGCGAGAAGTGGTGGGTAGAAAAGTGGAGAAATGGAGAAAGCTGCGGCTATTTGTAAAAGCCGCAACTTTTTCCATTTAATTAGGAATACGGGCCCCAGGAAAATCGGCGNAATCCAATGGCACACTGATACACCGATGGTTTCTCGGCAAATAAGTTATCTAAAAAGGCATAAGGCCTCTGGCCCAGATGGACTGTTCCCAGCTGCGTTTAAGGATGGATGTCTAGCCTTAGTCTTGGAGTTGACGAAACTCCTGGGCTCAATATGAGAAAGGGAAGAGGTTCCAGCTGAATATCGTGAATCGGTGATCATACCGCTTTACAAGAAAGACGACAGGTTCTCCTGTGAAAAACCACAGAGGAATTAGTTTAGTCAATACGCGTGCGAACCAGGCTGGTTTTAGACCTGGTCTAGGTTGCAGTGACCACATCTTCACCCTCCGCCAAATTCTGGAGCATTGACATTCTTTTCGTAAACCCACCACGTCTGTTTTTCTAGATTTGAAGGCGGATTTTGACTCATTCGACCGCTCTCAACTCTGGCGCTACCTCGCTCTGAGAGGTGTGCCCGAGAAGTTTATTTCAATACTACAATCGCTTTATACTAATAGCCGGAGCCGAGTTCGAGCTTACGGCACACTTTCGTCCGAGTTCACTACAGAAAGTGGTGTTCGACAGGGTTGCCCCCTCTCCCCTTTTCTATTTAACTTTGTTGTAGACCTGATTATGGAAACAGCCCTATCCTCGTGCGAGGATAATGGCATCCATTTACTCCCGAGTGGCAGACTGTCTGATTTGGAGTATGCAGACGACATTGTGCTACTAAGTGAAGATTCATGTAAGTTGCAAACTTTTCTGGATAGTTTGAGTGCTAGAATAGCTATGTTCGGTATGCGTTTTGCACCTTCAAAGTGTAAAATGCTACTACAAGATCGGGTTGGTCCAACACCTAATGTCCCCCTGACTGAGGCAGTCGTCAAAAAAGTAAACAAATTTTGCTATTTGGGCAGCTACATCTCACCCGGTGAACGCATCACGGATGAAGTATCAGCTCGCTTACAGAAGGCTCCGTTGGCATTTGCCAGCTTGAGATATCTGTGGCGCCGTCGCGACATCCGGGTGTTTGTGAAAGGTCGAGTGTATGCTGTGGCAGTTCGGCTAATCCTGCTTTACGGTGCAGACTTGGCCACTAGGGGAACAGGATGAAAATAGATTGTGGGTGTCTGAATACCGTTGTCTACGCAGCATTGCACGAATCTGGTGAGGAAGCCGGACGAGAAATGCTGAGGTTAGGTGTTTTAGGTAATCGCGGTCGTCCACTGGAGCAGGTAGTCGACCTCCATAGATTACGCTGATTGGGAATGTGTTATGCACGTCACCAGATAGTTTGCCACGGCGCGCGATGTTTGCCGAGGCAGGTAGTGGATGGATATAAGCCAAAGGTGGTCAAGCTAAGACCTGACATGAGGGTATGAAATCCCTAACGGGGGTACTGGGTTACACAGGTCCTGTTAGGCTCCCTGGATGGGGACTTCGGGATGGTCGTACCGGATGGTTAGAGACACTGAGTGATATGGCTGTGGTAAACAGTGGCGTCCGTGCATCTTCTCAATTTCGATGCATCCTTAGACCACTGAAATTCCTCATATTCTGTTCACCCTTGCTGTCTTTCGCCTATTCTTCATCCAAATGGGCAGCCAAAAGACAGCAACCATGACCGGCGCACGATAGTGCACGACTAACGGTTGTACAAACTGAACTGAACTGAAACATCGTCTTTATGGAATATCTGAGAAGAATATCATCATCATCATCATTGTACAGCGTAATACAGTGGAGCAGGCTTCACTGATCGCTGCCATACCCATTTTGCAAACAAGGCAAGTGTGAATGTGTAAGGAGGACAGGGATCGGACTTATCTTAGGGGCAGGAAAAGAAAGTGAACCTCTATGGTCTACACACAGAGTACACAGACCAACTGTGCATACATACTATCTCAAGCATTCTGGTCTGATAAGAAGTGACAGTATGATCGCCATTGCTGTCGGTTCACAGCCATGACCTTCAGTGTCTCCAACCATGCGGTTTCGGAGTCTTTCGAACGCCACCCCGGAAGATAGTGCAGTGTGCGAGTGTTCAAAAGTCTTGATGAAAGGTGGATAGGTCGTTTCAGAAGTAGGACTAGAACAAATGAGAACTTAACCCAATTAGGAATCACTTTTGCCGATTCATCCACCCTTCGCCGTCTCTACTGGAGTTCGCCAAAGCTGCCGTATATCCCCATCTCTTTTCAACTTTGTCATAGAGGATTTTCAACGTACAGGCAGCCCAAAACGCTTCGAACCGATTGGCGATAGAGTTATTCAGGTATGGTATGTGCTTTGCACCTTCAAAATGCTTGTTTAAGACTGGCAGGAACCTGCACTCACCCTCTGTGGTGATCAGCTAGAAGTAGTTGAGAGCTTTAAGTACCTCGGGAGCTTGATCGCAGTTGGTGGGAGTGTTGGGGAGATCACATCACGAATAGTGAAAGCCAGAGAAGCTTTCGCCAACCTGCGACACCTGTGGCGCCGCCATGACACCCGACTGTCCATTAAGGGTATACATCGCCACGGTTCGTAGCGTTTGCTTTCCGGTTGCGAGACATGGCCCCTCCGCGTTGAGGATGCTAATTGACCTTCTGTATTCGACCACCGATGTCTCGAAAGCATTGCTCGTGTCTAGTGGGAAAACCGAGTGAGCAATGACGAGGTTCCTCGTGTGTTGGGTGCGTATAGTTGTTCTCTAACGGAATTTATCGATCTACACCGCCTACGATGTCTTCATGTATTGCGTACGCCTGCAAATCGACCGCCTTTCCCTGGTCCCTTTGCACGTGCCGGGGAGGGCTGAAAGGAGCGGCGCAACGGTCAGACCATGACATGGCATAGAGGCATGAAGAAGCTGGCTTAAGCTTTGGCTTCGGTTGGTGCAGCCCGCCTTCCAGGTTGGGGCCCAAGGGATGAGTATCGTCGTTGGTTAGAGACGTGAAGAGATATCGCCCAGAATAGAAGTCGGGGGGCGAGAATGCTGTACGGTCTGTTTGTCAAAATCTCGTGCACTGTAAAACAACAAACACAAAAAATATCAAAAATTGTACGGTGAAACACAAAATTTTGTCACTTCAGTTATTTTCCATCTTCCAGGATTCAACTGTTTCACCCTCTTTCCACTTTGTTCTGTATCCCAATCCACCTATCCCCTATTATTCTTATTGTTATTATGGTTGTGGCGTTCGTACCAGGCTTGTTTACAGCAAACACGGAGAGAAGTTCCTTATCTCACTCCTTATAGTGACGATGACTAGGAACAACGCGTACGCGAACCAAACCCGAATAGGTAACGATCGAAGTGGTGGAGGAAAATACGCAGCTTATACCGAGGGATAGGTTGAATGCGAGCACATAATATAAGTGAACACCAACAAGGCAACAGATGGAAGCTGAACGTGAAATAAAAGCAACAAATGACCGATACTGTGACGCTCATCGAAGTTGGTTATGAGGAATCTCAAACGAACTTCTGACTGATCATTAGGAATGCAAAAAATACCAATAACATTAAAAAGGAGGAAACTGGTGCGCGCCGAATACGATAAAATTGCTTACCCAAATTTCCACGGCAAGTAGGGCAAGATGATAACTTGGACCGACAAGACGCACAAACAATATGTCCACTTTGGCATTGAAGAATAGGAGGGAGAGCATAATCCATGCACACGGGACATTCGAATAAACTTGCCAAGTCAACGGCACTAGCATCCGCAGCGCCGTGGGGCAAAGTATTGATTGTACTGGTTGACGCTGCTGGAGCAGATCCCGATGAACTCGATGGTTTATTATTATTCTGATGGTTATTGACTAACGGTGCGGTAGTCCCAACTTCGCGATGTGGAAGGTTCAGATGAGGTAATAATCCGATTCCGTGATGGAGGGTATTTAAAGGTAAAATTGCCAAAGGCCGACCAACAGTATCATTAGAAGATAATTGATTTCGATGGCAGTTCCGTTCTTCTAAATTTTCCTGAGGCGCTCCAGGTGTTCGAGCACTGACACTCATCGGAATATCGCCCAAATTGGGATTCATCCCCTGGAAGACCAAATGTAACGCAAACTTTGAATCACGCGCGGGAAAAACTGAATGGGATAAACAAATGTAGTGGTCATCTCGGGTAATCAGGATTTCTTACACAAATCTTTTCTTAGGCATTTTTTAAATCCATTTGAATGTACTCTTTTTGGAATTCTGTAACATGAATAAAACAGCTGATCTGATGACAAATGTGACAATTTCACCGAA